GAATGTACAAAGCGATCAATTGGCGCAAGTTACGAAGGTTGCGTTACGACAATCATCTTATGGGCTGAGAAATGATTCATGGTACAGACAGGTTTTCATATAACAAGAATTGATGGTATGGGCGATAACTTCAAACAACCCATGTTTGTGGGGCAGAACATTTTGTTTGCTTTCGGCTCTTTAGATTGATGAGACGACTAATCAGTAACACTGAGGTTGCTCTTATACGCTTGCTACTTCTGTGGTTCATGTTTCCAAAACTATGCTGAGGTCGCTATTCTGTCGAGACACCTGCAACATTCTTACTCAGGCGCTTACAGTATGACTTAGAGGTTGGCATTCAATAATAATAAAAAAAAAACAGTTAGACAGTGCGAGATTTTATTCGTCAAATATTTATTTTTACAAACTCTACTCTTTTAACTAGAATTTCGATTTCAACGTACATAAATCCAGCTTCTTACTTCGACTTCTCTTCTATCCACCTGATACTGCACAACTCTCCCTTCTTTTTGCTGTACTCCTTTATCTGTGCGTTATATTCTTATATTCCCATAATTTACTTTAATTTAAGTGGTCAGTATGAATGTTATCTTGACTTACTACTGTATTGACTACTTCAACATGACAGGTTAAGTAGTGCTTTGGTTATATATATACACTTGCCACACTGCTGCCTTTTCCTCTCTCTCTTCTCCTTTTCAGAACCCCATTCACGGTGGGAAATCCTTGGCAACTCTAGGGAACATGCACCCAATGTACATGACTGTCTGGATCACAGCTCGTATCAAGCGCGTTCCATATGACCTTTCCCAACAAATTCACTATTGATCTCGGCCAATCGCCAATAGAACCTATTGTGCACCTTCCTCATTTGTACTCTAATATTGAAAATGTGGCTGTATAATACTGTTTCTGTCAGTGATATGGTGTAAATATGCAATCAGAAACTGTCTCTTATACTTAATTTAACTGCTATAACTTTTACAGTAATTGTAAAAGCATTTGTGACAATTTGATCTAGCCTGTAAACTGGCGTGACTCTTGTAACTTAGTTATTTGAGAATAAATTATTATTACTAAAATGCTGAGGAAGCTTAACACTGCTGACGTTATATCGGTAAAGAGTTTGCGCATATGTTCACTTATGTCAGTGGTGATGATTGAGATCCTCTGCTCTACCCCGCCAAACGTTTGAGTTTTGGAACTGCTGCCGAAACATTTTGCTATCAGAAGACTAATAATATTGCTAGGCACACCAAAAATTCGTCATACATGCTCCACATAACCTTTTGTAATCTGACTTACTGAGTCTGTTGGAAGCAATGTCTGTCACGTCTGTTCATGCCTTGCGAAACCACCGATTGCATTTGTCCTGCTAAATACCAAAAGTACTGGTAATCATCATGAAACATAAGTAATTCATCCAATCGCGATAAAATCTTATAAAAATATGGAAATGAGCAACATATTTTAAACAAATAAAATGGATAGAAAATAGGCAGTAGAAACACTTAGGACATACTAAAACCAGAATTTTACCACGAAAAACTGTAAAGACCGGACACTAAGCCAGTTCAAAAACATAATAATAAACTAACTCAGATTTGTGAATTAAAGAGAGAAGTCCTATGGCCAGTGTTAGGTCGTTTATTGTAAGGTCCTGAGAGTGACTGGTCTCCTATTGAACCAGTCCATGGAAGGTGCTAACATTACGTCTTCGGATAACAGGTTCCAGTGTAAAAACTTGTATTCCATAGGTATTTCGTTAGTCCTCGGCTTTTATACTTGCCTATTTTGTCTTCTAAGTTATCGTGATTTAGTAGGAGGGAAAGACAGGGTTCACGATGTTTGAAATCATTTCTTTGTATTCTATATGTCGAAATCCGATCACTTTTTGATCTGCTGTAGGACGAAGCATAATGGTATAACATTTTAAGCTTTTCTGTGTATGATAAACCTTGGAGTTCTGGAATTAACTCGGTAGCTGTCCTCTTTACTTTTGCTAAGACATCTAGGTCACACTTTATGCAGGAGCCTTCAGCGTAAATGCTGTTTTCAAGTTTACATTTCTCATATCGTCATGAATATCCAGGTATACAATTTGACTAACGTCCGTCCTTCTTTGCATTAGCAGCACAAAGTGGCACCGGTGACTTAGCAGTACTCGTGAGTTCACTTACATATAGTATAAAAAGTAAAGGGCTTAGTTCAGGTTTCCAGGATAAACATTTGGGATTTACCCTTGTCTTTTTCGATCTAACAGGAAATCTTCAACCCATCGAAGACAATGTCGTGTAATTCATGAGTGTTCCAGCTTCAAGAGATGTTTCTTATCTGGCACACAACCCAATACGTAGCTAAATTCTACTTTTTAATCATCTAGTGACTTGGAATATCTGTCTCTTGCTGTCAGCAGGTCTTCTGTGCATGGTGATCCTCTTGAGAAAATCATGTCATTCGCTATCCAGCAAACCTTTCGGTTCCACAGTGGTAATTATGGCCTTTTTGATGATTCTGCTTACTATTTTAACGACTCTAGCGAGGCTGATGGGTCTCTAGCTTGGTGAAAATAGTCTCAATCCTCTTATGAATTGGAGTGACGATTGCATCTTTCCAGTTTGTAAGTAGCTCACCCCACAAATGGTGTATTATTTTAAGTGGCAAAGAGATGTGTTATGAAATTAGTCCCAAGAATTTGTCTACAGTTCATCCGGTCTTGTTAATTTCTGTCTTAAGCGCTTACGGCTTGAATATATTTTCTTCACCAAAGTTCGCATTAAAGCGGATGATTCGTGGGTTTTGTGTTCGATTTCATGCTTTGTCTAAAAGAGGTTCCTGGGTGAAAACTGTCCCGGATTTAGTCCATAAACTTATTTCTGTCGACTCGTAATGGTACGTCATTTTTGAACTAATGAGGTTAATGGCAACGTCAAAAAATTTTCTTCCGTCTAAGTAAACACTAATTTTCCCTATCTATCGATGAATGGCCGTTTTTTCTTCTTTGGAACTGTCCAAGATACAAATGGTTGGGTATCTTGGTTGTACAACTGCAGAAAATGGTACCATACCTTTAAGTCGAATGAGTTTATCTCTCTCAAAAATAATATTTTTGTCGAAGAATGATAAAGTAAGAGTCTAAGAAACGCAAACCGAAATGAGATAATACGTACAGTTTGTAAAGCGCGCGATAAAATTGTATAATTAATACTACATGTTCTTTCCATGTTTTTCTGCGGTCATTACATAGATTAAGTCTCATCACCTCTTAGAAGATGGACCTATAATTCAGAGGTTATTAACAGGAAACTATCAGTTCTTCATTTTTGGTGTACTAAGTTTTATTTTGAAGTTTCATGATTGAGGCATACTTGCGAAGGTCTGCGCTGCGCGCTGTGTTCGCATCAACAATTAACGGGCATCGTATTTTCGTTATATGTTAGTACCGCCAGATCTCCTTTGTGTTCGAGACAAAAAGGTAAAGGTGAGATAGCATATAATTGTCACATCATCTACATATATTCAGAGAACTTTCCAATTGCTTTGGTTGACTTTGGTTATGAATTATCAACTTGTCAGTTGATATACTTTGTAGTTAGGATAAGAACTGTAGGACAGTCTATCTGTTAGTCCCTGCTCTAAGTAATTCTATACTGTTCAAGTGTCTTTTTTCGGTCATTTCACTTTCTGGATTTATTTCATTGACTCGGCCGAACTGGAGTTTGGCGTTTCAGTTATTGTCTTGTGTGGAATCCGGTAGAGCATAGTTTCAACTTGTGTTTATTTATTCGTCATTTTTATTAGTTCAAATGTACGAGCGCTGATAGTAAACATGGAATGAGTGATTTTATAAGGTGGTTTTTCGACAAGCAGGAATTTTCTAGTCGTTGTGATTCTGCTAGTAGGGAAAAATAAAAAATTATTCATGTATCGAACTGGTAGTCTACTTTTTGGGCACGCACACAAGCGTTGAAATCTTTAATTGAGTATTTTCTTGATATGAGTAACTAGCAAGAGCTTGGTGAATGAACGTGTCTTTTATTCAGCGTTATCAAAATTACCGACAAAACTATATTTCGATATGTATTCAGTTCCATGTTCTTCATGATTTATTCATATTAAACATGAATGGAAGTATAAGATGCATCGTTTTTGTTCAAATAAAGGGCACGGAAATGATTGGATTCCAATCATGAATAGCTAATATTGAGATTTGATATTTAGCATATTGATTTTGTGTTCCTCCTATACAATCGCACTTATGATCTTATTTTCTTCATCCATATATTTACACTGGTTTATTTGGCACATTTTATCCATGTAAGTAAGGCGTGTTTGTCCCAGAGCTCCTCTTAATGTCAGTAAGTGTTATTCGAGCTATACATCTAGCAGTTTAGGTAGTTCAGAAATCCACTACTCATATCGAACCACGAGCTGCGAGAGTATATTATATTACGATCATTAGTTTAGAGAGTTCAAGCAACTAAACCATGACACAGTTTCCTTCTGTGATGTCAGTGACTTTTTGAACCATGTTGAAAACTTCAGACTTACGAAGTGACATATCTAAAACGCCAAACCACAGTCGAATACATGGTTTCAAATTGCCTGAAGTGGTTTTATGTTCCCGTTAGTGAACCATTCAGTACAATCCCATGATCTTTTTGTCATCGTTTTGCTTCTTATTCCTAGTTTTTTATTACTTTCAGTTTTATGAACTTCATCCTCTGCTAATCGTCTTTATGCATATTTGGAAAGTTGAAAATTGCACAGGTACACACTTTGCTAGACTATACGTTGGATTAGTCAATAGGCTAAGCTATACGAAAATAAGGTATTAGATTTTTAAAGTTCAAATCTTTTGATTTTGAATGATTCATTTTTTCTGTTTTTATGATTCTAGATTTTCGTACTTTTTCATGAAAATACTTTTACTGTCCCGCTTTCTTTTGAATTAGGCTTTTGTGGTGTAATAAATTTGTTGTTCAACTTCTTTGGGCATGCTGACTGCCTCTGTGGCACCGACTTCTAACATCCCTAAGATCAGCGAAAACGGAAATCTACGTTCACGATCAACATCTCAAAACTTTCGAGGTGATCATTCTAGAATTAGCTGTAGTAAATCAAAACTGTCAGCTACAAGTGTGGATACTTTGTCTGATTCATTAAGTTTGGGGACAACCGCAACTGAAAGTACAGTAGGAGAGGTGTGGGAACAAAGACATTATCCTGTCATGCCTTTAGGATGTTCTCTACTAGGAAGTCAACCTCCATCATTCTTAAATTTTTCTAATCAAGATAAACAACAACCTTCAGAAAAGGATTTATACGAATTTTTAAAAGATGCAGAACTAGACCACTATTACTCCGTGCTTACTCGTCATTTAAAGGTGAGTCAACCTTGTTTTAAAAGAGTAAGAGTAGTGTTTTTAAAAAAAATGTATCATATCAAGTTGATTGATACTCATCCGAAACTGCTGCGCAGTACACTCATCCTTCAGCTAGCAAACGGATATCTCGCCTACGCGATAAGTCGGTCAGTCAGTTGCAACGTAGAACTTCGTACATAAGTACATCAGTTCATGTCGCCATACCACATCAGCACAGAGACATGATTGTCAATTCAAATCCAATAGTAGTAGAGGTAGTAAGGGAATTAGAAGTAATCGGAGAGGTTAGGGTTAGAAGATACTATTCAAGAAGTATGATTCAGTGAGAAAAGTTTAGAGAGTCGAAACTAGAGGGGTTGAAGTATCCAGAAGATAACGATTTGAGAGAACACAGAGAATAAATGCACCGGCGCCATTGCGAACGATTTTGAGCCATGTCGTTCAAGGTCTCTAACCATCGATTATTATCATCTCGCGGACCCCAACCAGGTAGTCGACAACTAGCGACATGGCTCAGTCCACTCGTCAACGACTTCATGGATTTGTGCCATGTTTTGGTTTGGCCGCCCCTAACTTTCTTCCAACCTATTCCTACACTACAAAACAAAGCTCGAAAAGGCAGTCGGTGGTTGGGCATACTCAACACATCTCCCAACCACCTCAACTGATGAAGTTTCATTACTTCATCTATTGATCTGCCATTTTTACCTAGCACCCGATTCCTAATAACAGCGTCGCTCACTCGGGTGTCCCAGGATATACGAGCAATGCTTCGAAGACACCTATGATCGAAAACCAGTAACCTACGAATATCTTGTACTCTCACTGGCCATGTTTCACAGCCATAAAGTAAGACGGAGCAAACTACTGCGCAGTACACTTGTCCTTTAGTCAGCAAACGGATATCTCGCCTACTCGATAAGTGACGCAAGTTGGCAAAAGCCAATCGGATTACTACTTATACTTCTATTACCTCCACTACTACGGGATTTAAATCAACAAGTGCATTTCTATGCTAATTTGGTATGGCGACTTGAACTGATGTACGTACGTACTTACATAGTTCTACGTTGTAACTGTCTGATTGACTTTGTATCATTTTCTCTTATCAATATCCGTTTGATAAGAAATGATTTCCCTTAATATTTCACACATCATGTTTGTTATTTTGTAGATTCGTTCAGTTCAACAAATCAAATATGTTGAAGATTCTGATCTGGCAGAATTAGGTTTCAGTCGACCAGAACAACGACGTTTACGTAAACATTTCAAAAAAGAATGTCCTCAAACTGCTATGGGAAAACTAAGAAAGGTTAGTTTTAACGTGAAAAAAAGATTATTGTTAGAAATATAAGCAAACATGAATAACAGTTTTTTTAATGTTATCTCTACTTATTCAATACGCTTTAGGTGACGTTGTTGATCTATTACAAACAATACTTACTTACCTACTTACTTACGCCTGTCACCCCCTAATAGAGCATAGGCTACCGACCAACATTTTCCAGCCTACTTTATCTTGGGTCTTCCTTCCCAGTTCTGTCCAATTTTTTTGTTCATTCTTTTCATGTCTGTCTCCATTTCTTGATGTAATATATTCATTGGTTTTTTCTTCTTTTCCTTCGACTTCTGAGAGTTCCAGATGATGGCTGACCTAGTGACACAGTCAGTCGGGTGCTTTACGCAGTGTGTGTGTGTGTCCTATCCACTTGAAGAACCTCAAGTTAAGAACTTCTTGTTTAAATATTGATTGAATATATTCCAAAATCAAAAACTAAATTGTATTGATCACTCTTCATATGACTTCAGAAGGTACTTTAAAGTATCCAAGAATCCTTAAGTGCTATCCAAGTTTTTAATTTTCACGTCTAGAAAAAAATCTTTTCCATTCTCCATGTTCTTTTTTATGTTGTTGCTTCTTTTTTAGCGTTTAGCTCGATCTACCAGTGGTCGATGTTCATCACCACGATTAAAAAATACACTAGATGGATTATCATCACGTAATCTCAATAGTGTATTATCGATTTCGTTAGATAGTAGTACACCAACATCAGAAGATGGTGATTCAAAACGACGTACTGTATTAATTGCACAAACTTCTAAATCTCATGATGAAAATAATATTAATAATAATAATAATAAATGTTTAACAGAGAATATGAATCATTTAACTATTCATGGAAATACACCTTCTTATCGAATTATTCAATCAAATGAACTTGAGATTGGCAGTAGCCTTGGTGAAGGAGAATTTGGGAAAGTTTTCCAGGTAATATAAACTAATTATTTACTTTTTGTCAATTTAATTATCTATTGTTATTGCCAATACAGAGGTGGTTTTTTTTGTACTTGCTAGTTTGATTTTATCCCATCAGACTGAAGCATAAATGAATTCTTTCTCCTTCTAAACTTATCTCACTGAATCATACTTCTTGAATAATATCTTCTAATCCTAACCTCTCCGATCACTGCTAATACCTTTACTACCTCTACTACAATTGGATTTGAATTGACAATTACATCTCTGTGCTGATGTGGTATGGCAACATGAACTGATGTACTTACGTACGAAGTTCTACGTTGCATCTGACTGACTGACTGGTACATTTGTGATAGAGTGTTGTTCTCTGAGCTGGGGATGTATTAGTTGTAGGATTCTCATTGCTCTTCTTCTGAACAACATTATCAGCGCAAACGTTAGGTAGATGAATTGAAGTACTCAATAATGTTGTTCAGAAGAAGAACAATGCAGGCTTCACAACTATAACATCCAGCTCAGAGAATGACACCCTTCTCCACCATCTCAAAAGTACATTTTTTGTCTTGTTTAATTTTCAGTGCATATGTGCTTTTAATCAGAAATGTAGAAAGAAAGGTTCATAGAAAATTCTTGACATAAGTATCTCATTGTGATTGATATTGATCAGATAGGAAATATGTTTACCACTCTGTACAAAACATAATGTACACTTAGAAATCTTGATTCTCATATCTAAGTGTTTTCAGTACACAGAATGATTGTAGTTACTTTGTGAAGAATAATCTTTGCGTAGAGGCTATTTACCTTTATCTAGTCTATCGTATCCAATCACCGTAATGAATAAATATGGTTGGTATTTTACTGTACTACTATCTCGGTCAGGACATGATTTTTTGTAGTCATAAGTTCATTTTCATAGGTTAACTATCAAATAATTATTAACACTGGTACAAAAGGTCATATTTATATTTACGTAAACGTTATGTTGAAATAATCTTTGTTTAAATTGTTTCATATCTACTGATCAGCTGTCTAATTGGTTTTCATATTTATTTATAGAACATTTATACAATGAACACACAGAAAAGAGCCTGAATTATAACTAATAAATTGAGTGATAATGACTGAGAATTCAAGTTGCGTTTCCCTTAACTTGAAATGTAATACTGATCTAAATCAGTGTCTAATCTAACTAGCTGCTAATGTAACGTGATAGTCAAGCTTGCCTATCATGAAGATCCCATCCATGCTATATTGGCTGGAACAAATATTCCTTTAGGTTCTACTGTGCCAGATAAGTTGACTGGAGAACAGTAAGACTAAAAGTAGCAACTTAAGATCGGAAGACGAAGTCGTACTAATGACTATAGAGAAGTGTAACAGAAGAAGTAAGGTGTTTCGCTCGGACAACCAGTATCTGCAGCGATTCCGCCTCCTCACAACGAAAAGAAAGTGTTAAGAAAGATCGACCCTTACTACATCACACTTTACCATATCATATAGATTTCCGTCTCCGGCAATAATGCCTTTTCAAGAGCGGAACTTCATTTCCCAGCATTGCCTCACTGTCCTATGGATTAAGCCTGTAGGTCAAAAGATTTCAAGAAGTGGCCTCCTAAGAAAACTATCCACTTTTGTTTGGGCAGTCAGTCAGTCAGACAGTTGCAACGTAGAACTTTGTACGTAAGTACACCAGTTCATGTTGCCATACCACATCAGCACAGAGATATAATTGTCAATGCAAATCCAAAAGTAGAAGAGGTAGTAAAGGTATTAGAAGTAATCGGAGAGGTTAGGATTAGAAGATACTATTCAAGAAGTATGATTCAGTGAGAAAAGTCAAAACTAGAGGGGTTGCAGAATTCAGAAGATTAGGGTTTGAGAGAACATAAAGAATAAATGCACCGGCGCCATTGCCAACGGTTTTGAGCCATGTCATTCAGAGTCTCTAACCATCGATTATTATCATCTCGCGGATCCCAACCAGGTAGTCGACAACTACCGACATGGCTGAGTCCACTTGTCAATGACTTCATGGATTTCTGCCATGTTTTGGTTTGGCCGCCCTTAGCTTTGTTTGGGCACATGTATAGTATGCTAGCCCGCTCACAAATCCAGTAATTTATGTGGTGCACATTTGTATGAGTGCCTGTTTGTGTCTACGTCTATATGTTTCACTATAAACTGATTACAATCAGTAATCTTTCAGTTCTATGCATTAAATCCTAATGCTTTAAAAATCAATCAAATGGCTATTACTCATTCATTGTATCCAATAATTTAGTCTGATATTTAGTCTTGCAGTATATAATATATACAGATCAACTAGTTCAATGGTTCACAAACACAACAATTCTAACAACTGAACTATTCATGTGCGCTTATATGATATGGTGACTTGAGCACTGATGCACGTGCGTATCAAGAAGCTCTACGTTGTATGTAAACTGACTAACTGACTGATTGACCGAAATATTCATATCAGACTTTTATTTGTTTAAAAACTCATTTTTTTTTCTACCCGATTTAGTTTTCTCTGCTTTCTCAAAGCTATTATTATTAGTCTAGAATTTTTTGTCCACTTAATATGATGATGATTTCTGAGCATTTATGATATGTATATATGTTGTACATAGACACGCACACACACACATACACCTTTACCTACTACTACCTACCTACCTACCTATGTTTCAGTTTTCCTATTCCATTGAATAAGACCTAGTCATGAACCGTGTGTCTATTTTCTTGTTTTTAAAAACAAAAATTCAGCTTTTTGTTTATTATCTTTTATATATTATTTATAAATAAGAGTTTTTCCTCGTTGTTCTCTTTACTTATCTATTGATTGGTTGACTGATTGATTGATTGATTGGTTATTTATTTCAATGAATAAGCAAATCATTGAACTAATCAGAACTAATAAATTAAATTAATTAGTCAGACTGACAAATGAATTCCATGGGGGGGGGTGTGATTTTCTTTTTACTTTACTTTTAAATGATTATTGTCATTAATTATTGTATGTATCTTGAGAGTGTCTACCTTCCACGGTGTGTGAGCAGTCGGGAAGTGACAACCGCCCTCATACCCGTAACAGCACACGAGATACCAAATTGGTCAAAATCAAATCCTTCCTACACCCCTTAATGCCTCTATTATTTTCACGACTAACCAAAGGACGAGTGTACTGTACAGCAGTTCGCTCCGTTCTCCTATATGGATGTGAAACATGGCCGTTAAGAGTAGAAGATGTTCGTAGGTTACTGGTTTTCGATCATAGATGTTTAAGAAGCATTGCTCGTATATCGTGGGACAACCGTATAAGCAATGCTGTTATTAGGAAGCGGTTGCTAGGTAAGAATGGCAGATCAATAGATGAAGTAGTGAAACTTCATCAGTTGAGTTGGTTGGGACATGTGTTACGTATGCCTAACCACCGACTGCCTCGACGAGCTGTGTTTTGTAGTGTAGGAATAGGTTGGAAGAAAGTTAGAGGCGGCCAGACCAAAACATGGCAGAAATCCATGAATTCACTGACAAGTGTACTGAGTTATGTTGGTAAGTGTAGACTACCTGGTTGGGGTCCGTGAGACGAAAGTCACCAATGGTTAGAGACGTTGAATGACATGGCTCAAAATCGTTTGCAATGGCGCAAGGGCATCCATTCTTTGAGCTCTCTCAAATCCTAATCTTCTGGATTCGTCAACACCTCTACCTTTGTCTTTCTAACCTTATCTCAATGAATTATACTTCTTGAATAATACCTTCAAACCCTATTCTTCTTCATTACCATTAATACCTCTACTATCTTTATCACTATGGGATTTGATTTGACATTCGCGTCTATGTGCTAATGTAGTGGTATGGCAACCTGAACTTATGTACATACGTATGAAGTTCCAGGTTGCAACTGACTGACTGACTGATCGTGAGAGTCTCATCAGTCCTGATGGTTTGGTGTCTGATGAAATTTCGGCACAGGTACAGAAAGCTCGACTGGTTTTTGTCAAATTGCGTCATTTATGGCATAGGAGAGATATCAGTCTATTAACAACCAAAGAATCAGTATGAAACATGGCCAGTAAGAGTTGAGGATACTGGTTATCGATTTTAGGTGCTTTCGAAGCATTGCACGTATATCCTGGGAATACCGAGTAAGCAATGCTGTTGTTAGGAAACGGGTGTTCAGTAATGCTGGCATATTATCCATAGATAAAGTACATCTCAGAAGAAGCAAAGGATACAGTGGACAGCTTGGATGCAGCTAGAAAATTTGCATTTCGTAGATGTTTCAACTGTTCTATCACACACATAACAAAAAATGCATATGAAGATGGCTAGTATCGCAGCAGCCTCTGCAGCAGTAGGTCTCAACATACACAAGGGGAAATGCAAGATCCTCTAGTACAACACATTATACGCTAACCGAATCACATTTGATGGGGAAGCTTTGAAGGATGTAGAAACCTGTACATTTCTGATCAGTATCATTGATAAACAAGATGGATCTGATACAAATCTGAAGACAAACTGACAAAGTAAGAGCAGCATTCTCAAAATTGCTGAACAACTGAAACTAAAAAACAACTCTTATTCAAAACCACAGTCACAATTTCTAATACAAACTTTGAAACTACCAACAGTATTATTCAAAAGACACAGATATTTATAATGAGTTCGGAAAAAGCGCTGAAATTGGGTGAGACACACATTGCATACAGCGTAATGAGGCAAGTCCTAATTTGAAATGAAAAGAGGTAGGCCAAGGAATACACTGTGCTGAGAATCGGAAGCAGACATGAAAACAATGAATAGCGATTGGTTAGAATTGCAAAAGAAGCTCCAAGACAGAGTGAGTAGTAGATTGGAGAATGTTAGTCGGCGGTGGCCTATGCTCCATGAGCGGCAACATGCCTTAATAGGTATTAAAAGCGATTAGGAAATCAGATCTCCGATTAATTTATCAAACTTATCAATCATACAAGCATATTCTTTTTGTTTTTTTTAAAATTAAAACTTCCTTACTTGTCAAATAAATTTATTTTCTTCACAGGGTGTTTGGCATATCAATAATACAAATCGTATTTTACAAGTTGCAGTAAAAATTATGAATATTGAACAAATGAATGAAAAAGAAACATGTAATTTTTTAAATGAACTATCAATTATGCATCAATTGGATCATCCTGATATTGTACAATTACATGGTGTATGTATTGATGCGAATGTTATTAAAATTGTAAGTGTAAATGAATGATTACCATTAATATTTGTTATTATTGCTATTATTATTACTATTATTACTTACTTTATTTCTCAGTAATATATCATCAGTGTTATTCTGATTTATTTTTAACTTACTTACCTACTTACTCCTGTTACTACCCCCAATGGAGCATCATAGGCCGCCGCTGACCAGCATTCGTCAACCTAATCTGTCCTGGGCGTCGTCACTTTCTAGTTCTATCCAACTGTTGTTCATTCTCCTCCCCATGTCTGTCTCGGTTTCTCGGCGTAATGTGTTCACCGACCTTCCCCTTTTCCTTTGGCCTTGAAAATTCCAAGCGAGGGCTTATCTTGTGTGACCTAGTTGGGTGGTTTTCACAGTATGTGTCCTATTCATTTCCAACGCTTATTCTGGATTTCTTCCTCTGCTGGAATCTGGTTTGCTCTCTCTCTCTCACACACACAGTAGGTTGTTTCTGATGGTGTCTGATAAACGGATCCTCAGTATCTTGTGTAGACGATTGTTAAGAAAACACTTGTATCTTGTGGATTTCGTGGATTTCGTAGTTCTCCAAGTTTTCGATCCAAACAGTATAACTAACTATCGTGATATTTGTATTGAAAATTCTAACTTTAGTGTTTATTCGTTAATGATTGTTTTGAGTTGTAGATGTTCTTCAATTGATGAAGTTTTACTCTTGCTTTGCCGATCTGTGCCTTCACATCCGTATCAGATCCACCTTGGTAAGCATTATTGTTGATTAATAATGCTAAACAAAGCTTCTCTATCAAGTGTGATTTAGGTTGTGAATATTGTATTGTATCGGAGAATTTTGCTTTTCCCTTTGTGCATGTTGAGTTCTACTGCTGGAGAGGCTGCTGTTACACTGGCCGTCTTCATGTGCATTCGTTTCTGTGTTTGGGATAGAAGAGCTAGATCATCTGCAAAGTCGAAATCGTCCAACTATTTCCGATGCTCTCTCTTTTTTGACGTCCATATAATCCAGTCGACCACCAGGAGAAAGAGAAAGGATGAGAGTAAGCAACCTTGTCTGAAACTGGTCTTCACTTAAAACAAGTCTGTCAGCTGTCCTCCATGCACGATTTCACAGTTTAGTACACTAAGAATTCCTTCTGATGTTGACTCTCTTCTCAGGCATG